TCTGGGAGGCGGGCATCAAAAGCGTGAAGTTCCATTTGAAACGAGTGATTGGCACTCAAGTGCTTACCTACGAAGAGCTCGAGACATTGTGTGTTCGAATCGAGGGAATTCTTAACTCACGCCCTCTCACTCCAGCTTCGACGGACCCACATGATCACACCGCCTTGACCCCTGGACATTTCCTCATCGGACAACCAATCATGGAAGTACCAGAAGTAAACCTCATCGAGGTTCCGATGAATCGACTGACACGTTGGCAGCTTCTTCGACAAATGCATCAGTCGTTCTGGAAGCGATGGTCACGGGAGTACTTGAATACGCTCCAGGGTCGTCAGAAATGGACTACTATCCAGGATAACCTAAAAGTGGGGGATCTTGTCATTGTGGGTGCTCCAAATCAGCCCCCTTCCGTGTGGAGTATGGGACGCATTACAGCTGTTCATCCAGGTCCAGACCAAATCGTCCGCGTAATTACCATCATCACACAAGATGGGGAGATGAAGAGACCGGTGGTCAAAGTTGTTAAACTGCCAACAGATAAGTAGACTATCCTGGCATCCTCTCGTTCATCCTCCATCTTCTTTTAAATTGTATATGTATCGCTGTACCATTCAATGTATTTTTATATTTGTATTTTTTATGTATTTCTTGAACCCACAATTTTTTGTAATGTGTACGATCTGGTCTTTCAACATCAATCTTCAGCTCTGATGGTTCCTTGAAAGCCCACGGCTTTCAACGGGGGGAGAAAATGTTGGGTACGGATCCGTCACACGTCTCGCGGACTTCGGTCGACCGTTCGTCGTTATCGCCCTACCTCCCACCACGAGCACACGCGCTTCATACAACACTTATCTCGCCGTTGTCGCGCGTGTTTTATATTATCGTTTTTGCAGTCCGTCGTCTCTCGTCCGTCGTACGTCGCCCAGCCATCCTGGCTTTTTCGGTTTAACGGTTTTTTTGTGTTTTTCATACCTTGCGGCCGTTTGCGCCAAAGGCACCGCCCGGACAGTGTTGTGTTCGTTTCGTGTTGTGTCGTTCTGCACACACACGAATTTCATACCTTGCGGCCGTTTGCGCCAAAGGCACCGCCCGGACAGTGTCGTGTTCGTTTCGTGTTGTGTCGTTCTGCACACACACGAATTTCATACCTTGCGGCCGTTTGCGCCAAAAGCACCGCCCGGACAGTGTTGTGTCCGTTTCGTGTTGTGTCGTTCTGCACACACACGAATTTCATTATTTTGCGGCCGTCTGCGCCAAAATAATAACCGCCGTTTTTCGCCCGCCCGTCGTTGCACGCAGTGCGATCCGCCGTGGTGTTCGCCGTTTGACAGACGCCGCGACAACGACGTCCATACGCGACCGTACGGTATTACGCGGCCGTACGAGCTTTTCGAACCCGCTTCGTCCGATTTCGACACATTTGTCAACCATGACGTTTTATTACACGGCAAGCTCATGGGTTCGTTGACCTGCCGGCCGACGTTGCCCTAGTCTACGTGTGGTGTACTGTCGCGATCCGGTTCCACCTCCGTCAACTGATCGTCGTTCTGGGACAATCACACCACCCTCACGGTATCATCGGCATTATCAAGTATCAACGCATATCAGGTCGTACACAATATTGTTGTTGTTTATTTTTCGTATCACGCGCACCGTCACCGTGTATTATTTTTATTTATTTGTAATTGATTTATTTGCCGATCGGATTGTGATCGTGCACACTATACTATTATTACTAACCTTAGTCGTTAAGTTACTATATTTGCAGAACATTCAAAATAAATTATTCTGTCCTTTTTTCATACCACAAAACGTAATTGTTAATGTTCATCCCAATACCTTAAACTCAATATTATGAATTTATCTTAAATACAGTCCACTCTCTCATCCTCCTCCCCACCGATAGAACGTCGAGGAATATTTTTATATACGAAGACAACAAACGCGTCGGTTTACGTGTAGCTGCCGCCTGTGCACACACATCCAGGTACATCCGTCGCCCGGCTTCCTTGTGCAGCCCCCTGCTTCGCACATATATAATATGTCTTATACCTAGACTGACAGACTGTCTCCGCTCAGAATCGTTTTTCTTATACAATGATATTATATCGTTGAATTCAAATTTAATATCATCCATTATACAGTGACCCACTTGTAACCTACTGTACAGCAGAGCACTTGCCCACCTTTTTTAGTTTTTTTTTCTATAAATATCAATAATGTTTTATCTGTTTTGCCAAAAAGTTTAAAAATGTAATACAGGGCTCCTGATATATTGTTACAATATCAGTTGAAAAATATTAAAAATACATATACACAATTTTTTTTTATAAGCATTTAAGGATCAAATTTTTACAAAATGTATCAAATTTAAAATTGAATAATTATTTTGTAGTTTATAATTTATAAAATATTGATCTTTTATATCTAAGGATTGAAAATTTAAAACAAGATTTCACGTTAGTAGTTAATTCTGTTACCAAAAATCTAAAAACTACATTAGCACAGTTTATTTTTATAGTAATTTTAAGTTCAAATTTGGACGAAATTACATATTAAAAACCTAAACTATTTACTATTCTACTACCTAACTATTTTAGTTATTTTATTGTGGTTGTATAATATTATTCGTGGGAACTTGAAACTTCTAAAGTATACTATTATATATCTATGATAGTATCACGTTTTGTTCTTGATGTATAACGCGTTATAAGTACCTAATGGATATTGTGATATGATTAATTTGGAATTTACTATAGGTCAATTTTTAATGCCATAGAGAAGTATATAATATGTCTTATACCTAGACTGACATACCGTCTAATCTCAGAATCGTTTTTCTTATACAATGATATTATATCATTAAATTCAAATTTAATACCATCCATTATACAGTGACCCACTTGTAACCTACTGTACAGCAGAGCATTTTTTTGTATGAATACAAACCACAATGTCCTACGTACACGTAAAATGATTTCGACGCACCTCTATTAATACCGGTATATTCATCTTAATCTTTACAATCTAAAAAACACTCATGTTATTCTAATCATAATATCCAATCACAATATTTTAATATACATTTTTAACAAACTACATAAGGTATAAGGTAAATATTACTAAACAATATAAAATACGTCGAATACCATTATAAGTAGCATTTAAGGTGGTAACCATACTTACACAATATAGTATATATTATTATATTGCATAGGTATTGTAGACTAAAAATCGTATGATAATAACATGCATCGACTCCACAAAAAAGATTATATTATAAGATACGTATCGTGTTCGAACGCTGATTGAATATCACTAGACGCTTAGATGAGCGATAAATGATACTCTACTATAGACAGCGCAACGGTCGTCGATGCTTCTAGAGGCAGCTTACCCCCTCTATTAAGTTCGACGCCGTGAGTGCTGGCTCTGCGCTGTGCTGCCAGCCGCTTTTTTGTCTTTTACAGACGTTCCACCCCGTCGTTGCGTTCACTCGCCGCCTTGCGCCGTGTTTGGCCACCCAACCACTTGTGCGGACAACGAGTTTGTTTTCTTGTTTTAAGTCGTTGTGTCGTCTTTCCGAATTACGTAAGTGTTATACCAACCTGTTGTCGCTGGCAATACATCGTATACACCAAATATCGTGATGATAATAACTTATTACCTAATAAGTTACCATAGTTCACGAGCCGCCGTGTACGTTTGCCGGTGCGTGCTGCCTAAATCACGTGTCCGGACGATGCGTTGTTTCTTAAGTTGTCTTGCCGTTTCCTCGCGTACCCGAGCACTTTTAAGTCGTTCATTCTGTAGAGGTCAGACAGTGCGTCGTGCTTATTGGCATTTGTATTTGTAATTATTCGTCATTACGCGTCTGTTCTCGTCGCGCCGCGCCGGCGGACGGGCTATTGACATTTATATATTATATTACCTATAGGTGTGTACAATATTTCAATGTTGAAGCAGTGAGTTTCCAGTTTCCACCAGTCCAGTATTGGCCACCCCAGCAGTCACGCCGAAGCCGTCGTTATCGTCGATACAGACGACGCCGATAATATATCCGTTCAATTGTAGGCAAATTACTTTTATCTTGTTATACGGTATCTATTATCACGTATTGTACCTATATTGTATAAAACTGTTGTATTTGTTTATATTATTTATTACTATTATGTAAATCATTTTTGCGCCCACCTATTATTTATTATTTGATCTATTGTGGTATTGCTTATTATTATATGCCACCATTTACATTCAGTACCATTTTATACCATTGATTTTTATATAAAGCTATACATAACTTTGGGTAACCTTTACCGATAACCGCAAATACCAAAAGTAGGATCGGACTCAGCATCAACAGTCAACATATCATTTACAGCTAGAATAGGTAAGTGGTAAACTTTTTACAAAAATACCATAATAATGCAGTTTATATAATACAATTGTGATAGTAATAACAGTACGGTGACTTTGCTCCTTTTTGATGTAATTTTATATCATTTAACTGTCAAACTAATTTTTCCAGTTTTGTTTTGTTTAACTTATTTTGCGCCGGTGAACTCGTGTTAGTGTTTGTGGATCAGCGTAAGGAGTAACTCCACTTCTGGAACTCGTTTATCTCCAGGAGTTTTATTTTCCAGTTCTCACTTAAGCTTTTATCACTTATTTCCGTCAAGCTATTGATCAGCTGTATTCAACCTATGTTTGCTTACCGTTGCACAACGATAATATTTGCTCTGTGATTATTATGAAGTCATAACCTCGTTCTTTAAGCTTAACTAGAAAGGTAGAAACCTGCACCTTGCTACTTCACATTCAGCATTGCTGTAGTTTTGGGTTTCTTCCAACTTAAAAGGAATCGCTTGAAACATTTTTACTTCTCATCTCGCTTACGTAAAGTAGCATACAAATTGACTTTTTAGTGTTAATAGAAGGTCCTTCATGTTACCTAGTATCCTTCTTCTTCTGGTTTGAGCTTTCTGCTTGCTCCGACAATGACTAATCCACCTAAAACCGATCTCAAGGCCGAGCATACTCAACTTAAGGAGAAAATAAACGTCCTCAAAAATAAAGTCGAGATCCTTGAATGCTCTGAGTCTCCTGCCCATTCCTCATCACCATTTGCTCAAATGTTACGGGAAGACACTCAGAGAGAACTTTATGTGAACAATGTCTTGGTCCACGGCTTTTCTGAACCATCGTCTTCGTCTTATCATCAACGTATCGATGATTATAAAACAACGTTGGAGCAAATTCTTGGACATCATAAAAATATTATTCCTAATTCAGCCATGAATTTCATCCATCTTGGTAAAGTACGTCCCGATCATGTACACCGTCTAAAGATTATCTTTCTTTCCAAAGAAGATCAAATTAGTTTTTTACGTGGGTGTAATGAGGCTAAGCTCAACAGCTCTGAGTTCCCTGTTAGTTTCCTGGATTGCCAGAGAAAAACTGCATATGAACGAGGACTAACTACGGTCATTCCAAACTCGAACGTCGGACTAAGTCAGGTGAAGTTGTTTTACAAATAAGATACAGGAGTGGTGTGCTGAAAGTTGTACAGAATCTCAAAAAAAACGGAACTGTCTGGGATTCTTCCTAAACCGCCTTTATCAGCATGCCCACCCGCCTCTTCAGCTTGTCAGTACTAAAATGTAACTATTAATTGTAAACTATTCTCTCGTTTAATTCCATCCACCCCTACCATTAAAAAATACTGTATCCTGTCAAGCCAAAGTTGTAATGCTATGCCAACTCCTGATAATTTAATGCTTAAGACTTCTGTAAATTGCAACCTTTGTATTTTTTACCAAAATGTGGGTGGCCTTAGAACTAAGCTCTTTAACGTAAAATCATCCTTTTCTTCTTTTATTTCTTACGAAAATATTGTTCTTACTGATACTTGGCTTTCTCCAAATATATCCATCTCCTAATTAGGTTTTGATGGATTCCTTGTTTTTCGGCGGGATAGAAACTTTTCTAACAGTATTTTTTTGCTTGTTGGAGGTGTTCTTATTGCAGTTAAAGTTTACTAAAACTTACCGCCATACCCCTAAACATTTTAGACGTTGAGCGAGCATTTGTCACTCTCAAGTTTGACTCTTTTAGCGTATTCACTGGTGCAGTTTATCTTCCTGCTATGCTCCACTATCTGTCTTTGAATCACATATATCATCTGTTGAACAACTAATATCATCTCTTAATTCTAGCTATACATTATTTTGTGGAGATTATAATATACCTCAAGTATCCTGGTACATAGGTCAGTTAGGCTCAAACACCTCCCCGGTGGGCTAACACCATCTTCCACTCACCTAGTTGATTGATTTTCTTTCCTCAATTTCTTCCAGCTTAACCAGAAACTCAATTGTCATGCAGTCCTTCTCGACCTAGTTTTTTCAAGTTGTAAAAATCATTTGTTGACTGTGCTCCCACTCCAATTCTTAGTCCTGATACTTTTCCGCCTTTTCTAATTACTTTCCCACTGAATTATAAGCCCCGCATAAATAACTCTCGCATCTACCGAGATTTTAATCTCAATGTCTCAGTATTTATCATCGTTCAACTGGCCGCTCAAATTCTCAGAATACTCTATTGAGAATGCTGCTGTGATAAATAATGACGCTCTACTTAAGGCTATCTACAAATATGTTCGACGCAATACATTTGTTGAATTCTAATTCTCTCACTGGGTATCTGGTGATCCTAAGAGCCTTATTATTAAAAAAAAAAAAAATGCTCAAATAAAATATAAACAGTCTAAGTAACTGTTTGACTATCTATTATTATCAGAGTTAAGAACAAAATGCAAATTCCGTTCTAGATCCGACTACAGATCGTATTTAAAAGAGACAGACAATTTTCTTTCAACTTCACCAAGTAGTTTTTGGAAATCTCCGAGATCTTAAACATAATCTATAAATTCCTTCCTCTGGCTACTTTGAAAACTTAAACTCTAATTCTTCCATCGAGTCAGCAAACCTATTTTCTACTAATATTTCATCTACCTTTAACCCCCCTTTATCTATCTCCAATCAATCTGCTACAATCTATGATGGACTGCCGTTCGACATAGACTTTTCTCACGAAGACTTATTACTATCCCTCAATTTGTTAAGTAACACCACCTCAAACGGCCCTGATGAAATATTTGCTCGTTGACTGTTTAACTGCCACTATTCCATAATGTTTCCTCTTTTTTTTTGCTATTTTGACGTTCTTTGAGAGAAGGTGTTTTTCCTGATGTTTGGAAAATTAGTTCTGTTTCTCCTATTTATAAGTCGAGTCATCCCTCATAACGCAAAAATATTCGAATCACTTGTAGACAAAATGGTCAAGAGCAGTTTAAACCGTATCATTATTGATGAACAGAATGAGTTCATGCCTAGCAAGTCCACTATAACTAGTAGTGTTCAATTTACGTCATACATCACTGAATGCCTTAAGCATAAAAATCAAGCTGATATCATTTTCACAGATTTTCTGAATTAACAGATGTACCTTCGGATGTACCCCAAGGAAGTCGCCTAAGCTCTTTACTATTCATTTTATTCATTAACTCTATTAATAAGTGGATTACCAAAGCCAAGTTCTCCATATTTGCTGATGACATAAAAATCTACCTAAAAATTGATTCTCCTGAAAGTTGTCTCATTGTCCAATCTGAACTTGATACCTTCTTCACATTAGTTCAACGTCTTGGTTTGTCACTCAACCTTGGAAAGTGTCATATAATGTCATTTACTACAAGTCGTTCTCCCATTTTCCATCCCTATCCCCTTAGTGACGTCCTTATTGAACGGGTTTTGGTTTTCAAGGAGATCGGCATTTTCTTTTCCTCCTCTTTGAGTTTCGAGGAACATATCAATGTAATAATTGTCTCTAAAGCCCTTAAGTATCTAGGATTTATTAAACCAGTCTCAAAAATGTCCTTCTCGGCAATTTGTGTATACTCACTTTATTTTTGTCTTTTACGCTCTAAGTAAGTTAGAGTATGATGTTGAAGTTTGGTAGCCCTACCTAGCCAAAGACCAACTAAGATTGGAAATTGTCCAAAGTTCCTTTCCTATGCAGCTTTCCTATTCAAAATTGACCACCCTGCAAACGACTCTTCAGTTGTTCACTAAGCTTTAGATATACAAACACTATCTACCCTTAGATTAACTGATGGCGTTAATATTGTTTCTTCTATTCTTAATGGTACCCTTGATGCACCAACTCTTCTATCTAGTACCCAGTTTCGTGTTCCGTCCTATCCTACCAGATATCATACTCCTCTTTACTTTCCATCGAACTCTTTTTCTTAGGGTTAAAATCACATTATGCATCGTATGTTTCGAGATTTTAATAATGCCTTGTAACTGATGCTTAATTCTTGGGCCACTTATGCATATATTTATATTTATAATTCTTGTTTTATGTGTGTACATTTTAATTCCAATGAACTTCTGTAATTATTATATAAGTACTAAAAATTATACATATCCTTACAGTATTTATCTAATTGCCCGATTGGGCATTAGTCAATTAAAAAAAAAAAAATTAAAAATGCAGTAGTAGAATAGAACTTAACTTATAAACTAATTAACATCTTATAGTTTTTCTATAATATGTATTAAAACCCCCATGTTTTCTTATTTTTTTATTTATAATTAATTCCACTTTATTTTAATAATATAGTAGCTTAATAATATTAATATGTAATATGTATAAGCAACTAATTGCAAACAAATAAATTATAATCTTAGAATTCCTGTATATTATAATAGATCGATAATAAAATATTCAATAAAAAAAATACTTACGATTACAATCCACATATAAAGATTGTCCTGTAAGCAAAATATATTTTTAATTTACTCATTTTAATATCACTTTTAAACGAAAACTACAAATACAAGTTTTGAAGTAAATAATAAATAAATATAATATTGAAATACCGGAAAGACATCCAGTGTTTTTAGGGTTCCGTACCTCAAAAGAAAAAAACGGAACCCTTATAGGATCACTTTGTTGTCCGTCCGTCCGTCTTTCTCAGGAACGCGTGGAGGTATCAAACTGAAATTTCTATATGATACTCAGGTCTACTGTCCCTGGAAGCTGTAGAAAAATCAACCTTCTAAGCCAACGCAATCAAAAGATACAGCCATTTAGGCCGCAAATTTCCGCAAATTTTCGAAACTCGCACGGGAATCAAAACCTACAGGGTACTTCCCGTGAACTTAGAATCTTGAAATTTCGTACGAAGTCACGTCTTATAGCACAGATATAGGAAATATTATGAAAACCATAAATTTTTAGTTTCATCATATAAAAATAAAATATTTTTGACAATTTTGAAAATTTCAAAGTTACTACTTCTTATCTCATGAACGCGTTGAGGTATTAAATTAAAATTCATATTAAATACTTAAGTCTATAATACCTTTAAACTCTAACAAAATCAAACTTTTATGTCAACGCAATCGAAAGAAATAATAACAATTTAAGCCGCATATTTTCAAACTCGCGACTACTTGCGAGGGAATCAAAACCTATAGGGTACTTCAAGTCGATTTAGAATCTCGAAATTCGGCATGAAGCAATGTTTTATCGCACATATAACAGAAAAATTCCGAAAACCTGAAATTTTTAGTTAGATCACATATTTTTTTTTCAAATAATTTTAAACTTATTATCCTTTTCCTCATGAACGCGTAGACATATCAACATAATATCTAGACATAAAATGAAGGATTACTGGAACGATAAAGATACCTTTGTCATTAATTTATGATCCTCCAGCTTTTCATATTTTGATGTTATAAATTTCATTTTGCAATAAAAAATACCATAACTATTACTCGATTGTCGTGTTGATTGAACTTTTACTTATATACCTACAGGTTTGTACGGAACCCTCGGTGCGCGAGTCCAACTCGCACTTGACCGGTTTTTTTTTTTTTAGTAACATATCATTACGATCAGTATAGGTACAAATAAAGTAAATACTATTGTGTACCGAAAAGTCACTAAAAAATGTTTTTGTCCATTCTTCAATGTGTTGGTATTTAAATATTATAGTTGTAATATGAATTGACTTAACTATATTATTAGTGCCACAATTATCATTTTTATTCTCCATCAACCCTCTCCACAACATGATAATTAAACTAATTGTTTGACAAAAAAAAATGTTTGTCATGCGGTCAGTGTGTGTAATAAAAATTAATAATTACATAAATAAGGTGTACACGTTATCTTTGTTTTTATAAGTACATAAAAATGGTTGTGCATTTATTTAAATAGGCTAATCCCCAGAACCACTTATACAACTGGCAACAAACTGTTCATATATATTTCTTGAGTCTCGGAAAGTGATTATTTCTTTGTCTATAAGGTTGCTATAGCTCACATAAGACTTTTTTTTGGAAAACGAAAATTAAATAATATTTTTATTTTATAATATTAAGTTAGCCATTGGTTACATAAATCAAATATACTTTTATATAAGTAATCTATATATAAAATTAAAATAAATATATGATTACAG